TAATCTCTGCAGGCCGTACAAATATAGGATATTGCTTTTGTTTTACTAATTCAGTAGGAAAGGGAGCCCCAGGAGTGTGAAGTTGGCCCCTCCGATAATAAAGACCCTTAACTCCGTGGGATCCTGCAAGCTGCCGAGGGTAGCTATTGCAGCTAGACTCAGGAATCAGGGAAATTACCGTAAAATTTTCACTGAGAAAAGTGAAGCAATCAGAAGAGAGCCTCCACAGTCTACCACCACCACATCCGCCTGCCTTCCAGCATCCGCTCCCACTTCCAGGTTGTTTTCCCACAAGGGGTGAATGTGTAATGGGTACTAGCTCAAATATCACTGCTAAGTAGGGGATGATGTCACTGCAACGTGGAAATAGGATTGGTTCATAAGTGCTTTTTTCCCCTAATATACTAATGTTTTCCCCTAGTATACTAGTGCCACCAGATAGGAGCAGCTGAACACAAAGGACACTAATGAAATGGGCCGAATGAGCAAGCAGCTCAATCAGGTACTTTCCATGTTGCCTGTTCACCACGTGTTCTTCCTCTCCGTCCCCTTTGGTCAGTTTCTGTCCTGAAAGTGCTTATTGCATACCTCAGCAGCTTCTAACCTTCTGTATACCCAATTTTATCAAGGTATCTTTACCCTTTTTTGGATAGGTGAAGTCCTTTATTTACTGCCATATTTATTAGGAAGGTAACAGGACTTTTTAACTGTGGTAGTATTTTTATTAAAATTGGTGTTCTTGTTAGTGACAGGTTGTAAAGTTGGGTAGGTTTTGAGTGGCCTGCCCAACCCTATTTTGGGGCAAATGGTTTAGTGCTCGGCTGCTAACTGAAAGGCTGCAGTTCGAATCTGCCAGCTGCTCCTCGAGGGAAATATGTGGTGATCTGCTTCTGTAAAGACTGCAGCCTTGGAAACCCTATGAGGCAGTTCTACTCTGTTCTATAGGGTTGCTATGAGTCAGAATCAACTCCATGGCAATGGATATCTTACTTGGCCAATTAGAAAAACCAAAAACCAAACCCATTGCTGTGGAGTCAATCCCAACTCATAGCAACCCTATATGACAGAGTAGAACTGCCCCATAGGGTTTTCAAGGAGCAGCTGGTGGATTCAAACTGCCAGCCTTTTGGTTAGCAGTCAAGCTCTTAACCACTGTGCCACCAGGGCCTATTAGCAGCGTTTAATAGAGTTGATCACTCCCTCCTCGATACCTTTGGTCATTTGCCACACTCTTGGGTTTCCTCCTACCTCACTGGTCGTTCCTTCTCAGTCCCCCATGCAGATTCCTACTCTTCTCCCCACCTCTTCGTGTTGGAGGGCCCTAGGGCTCAGTCCTTTCTCTCCTACACTCAGTCCCTGAGTGATCCCATCTAGTTTTATGGCACCAATATGCTGACAATTCCCTAATGCAGATGACTGGATCAGACTTTTTACTTAATTGCAGACTGTATATTCAACATCTACGTTTGTTTAATGCACATTTCAAAATCAGCATGTCAAAAACTGAATTCCAGATATCCCTCCCCCCTCAAACCTGCCCCACCTGCAGTCTTTCCCTTCTCAGTTGATGGCAGCCTCATCCTTCAGGTGCTCAGCCAAAAACCAGCAGTCATTCCTGTCTCCTCTCCGACTATCACACCACATATCACACACACTGGCAGATCCTGTTGGTTCTACTTTCAAAACGTATCCAGAATCCAGCTGCTTCTTACCACCTCTGCTGCTACCACCCTGGGGCAAGCTACCATTTTCTCTTGCCTGGATCATTGCAACAAATTCCTACTGGTCTCTCTACTACTCTTGCCTCCCTACAACTGATTCACAGTACAGTGGTCACAGTGATTCTATAAAATGTCTGTCAGATTATGCCACCTGTTCAAAACTCTCTAGTAGTTTTGAGTAAACATCAAAGACCTCATAGTAGTCTTCAAGGCCCTAGAAGATGTGACTCCCTACTCCACCCATTATTCATTACCTCTTTAAACTAATCTCCTCCCATTCTCCCCCTCACTCACTCTCCTCCAGCCACATTTGCCTCCCTGCTGTTCCTCAAACACATCAGGCACACTCCTGCCTTAGGGCCTTTGCACTGGCTATTCCTTCTGCCCAGAACACTTTTCCATCTCCTTTAAATATGTGCTAAAATTTCACATTCTCAGCGAGGCCTGGTCTATTTAAAAATGCAGAACACCAAGTCCCCATCCTCCTGTACCTCCCAGCCACTTTATTCTGCCTACCCCCATAGTTATCACCTTTTAGCCTACCAAATAAATGACTGTATGTCTATTGTTTCTTATCTGTCCCCCGATAGAATGTTAAAGTCCTGTGAGGGTGGGGATCTTTGGTTCACTGATGTGCCCCAAGTGTCTAGAACAGTGCCTTGGCACACAGCAGGTGCACAATAAATATTTGTATGAATTGAAAGTGATAGGCTCAGGGTCTCACTGGGTTTACCGTGAGGTAGGCTCAGGTCAAAAATCCACTTATCACTCAAACCCCACTAGCTCCACACTGACCACTGTCATGGGCTGTAGTGGCACCCAGGGTTCCCAGGGATTAGGGTTGGCTTAGAGTCACCGTCAACCAGTGGTTTATCTTTTCTCTGGCATTTAAGTGCTGCTTCTTAGCCTCTTTCTCAGGGATCCCATCGCCCCTACTGCTATTGCAAAGGGCTTGCCTACTGAGCATTTACTGACGTATTTGACTTGCTATTATTAGTATAGTAACAGGGCTTCCCTACTGAGCCCACAGTAATAGCAGTGTTCTACCTGGATCTCCACTCCATAGATTCCAGCCACTAAGAGCTGGCCCTCCTGCTCCACCAATACATTTCTCAATGCTGTGGTGAAGAGAATGTCCTTTGGGCCTTTTAAGGGAACGTAGTTAGACGGTGAGTCAGCCATCATAAATCCATTCCAATATTGCTACCTTTCTAAGTCTTTGGATTTCTTCCCCTCTATTATACATAGAAACTTCCAGCATTTCAACTGCGAGCCCCCATTGAGTGTAGGTTTCAGTCAACTGCCTCATCGAACTATTAGAACCTTTCCCAGCTGTTCATCCTAGTACAAGGTTGAATAGTGCACACTTCCCCCACACCACTCCCCCCCAAAAAAAATTAATGTCCACCTAGAACCGCGGAATGTGACCTTATTTGGAAATAGGGCCTTTTCGAATGTAATTAGTTAAGGTGAGGACATAGTTCTATAGGGTGAGCCCAAAATCCAGTATGATTAGTGTCCTTATAAGAAGAGACACAGATAGACAGAGACGCACGAGGAGAACATCATGTGACGGGGAGGCAGAGATTGATGTACCTACAAACCAAGGAACGCCAAGGACTGGCAGCAACACCAGAAGCTAAGAAAAAGACATGAAACAGGTTCTCTTTTAGAGAGAGCATAGCCCTACTGACACCTTGATTTTGGACTGCTAGCTTCCAGAACTGTGAGAGAATAAATTTCAGTTTTAAGCCAACTGTTTGTGGCAATTTGTTCCAGTACCCCTAGTTAATACATACATTAAATCCAGAACTGTTGCTAAGTGTACCGTGTCAACAAGTTCAGTTTGATTGAAAATCCTATTTGTCTTTCTCTGGTATGACAGAATCTATTCTCTCATAGTCTTTAGGATCATGTCATATACATTAGCAATGTCTGGAATTCTTCTAACTTGCCAGCCTTTGTCTCCCCAGCTCCAAGGCCTGCTAGGATGACTTTAGTTACGGTCCTAGAGGCAGTAAGAGGTGGTAGAGATAGGGCATGAGGAAAACTGGTTTCCACTTGGAAGGTAATGCTAGCTCCAACCTCAGGATTTTCAAGTCATACAAGAGCCTCAGCAGTAAGGGAGCAGGAGCTGCTTCTGCTGGCCAAGGAGGCTCTGTGGGTCTGAAGTGTTCTGAGTCATTTGAGTCCTTTCCTGTGTCTCCACCAACTTTCACAAAGGAGACCTAGTTAGGCTGTGATTTCAACTGATATGATTCATCATCCGTCTCAGTTATCTAGGGCTGCCACAACAAAATACCACAAAGTGGGTGGCTTTACAGAATAGAAATTTATTTTCTCACAGTTCTGATGGTTGGAAGTTCAAATCAGAGTCTCTGTCCTGTCAATCCTTCTGTGGGTCTCCTAGTTTCTGGTTGTTGCCAGCAATCTCTGGCATTCTTTGGCTTGTTATAGATGCATCTGCCTCCAACGTCCCACGGTGTCCGTCTTCCCCTTGCATGTGACTCTGTTTCTGTGTCTGTTCTCTCCTTTTATAAGACACCACTCAGAAGGAAATAGGGTTAGGACCCACCTTAATCCAGTATGTTGTTGTTGTGAGCCATTGAGTCAATTAATTCAACTGATTAAAAAAAAGACAAACCCTATTTTCAAACAAGGTCACATTCATAGGTACAGGGGTTAGGACCTCAACATATCTTTTAGAGGGACATAATTCAATCTGTAACAGCATCCTACAGGATCAGACTGTGAGTCCTGTGGCCACCAGAGGGAAGAGGTTCTCTTAGAATAGTCATAAGAAATTCCTGGCATCTTCTATCATACCTTAAACCAGGGCTTTGCAACTTTGGCACTGCTGACATTTTGGGCCCGGTAATTCTTTGTTTTGAGGGGCTTTAGCAGTGTGATGGTCGTTATACGTCAACTTGGCTAGGCTATGATTCTCAGTGGTTAGGCAGACACTGTGTAATCACCTTCCATTTTGTGATCTGATGTGTGCAGCCAATCAGTTGGAAGAGGAATTTCCTTGCGGGGTGTGGCTTAGACCCATGATATAAGTGTTCTGGCAAAGCTCGCTCTCTCCATCCTGCATTTGTCTCGTCATTCTCTGACCTCTGGTTCTTGGGATGCGAGAAGCCTTCAGCCTGCTGCCTGACCTGCAGATTTTGGGTTCCGCAGCCCCTGCAACCATGTAAGTCAGAAAAAACCTCTAGCCTGCCACCTGACCCATGGATATGGGACTTGCCAACCTTCACAATTGTGTGAGCCATTTCCTTGAAATAAATCTACTTATTTATATACATGCTTCACTGGTTTTGCTCCTCTAGAGAACTCAGCCTAAGACAAGCAGTATTCCCGGTCTCTACCCACTAGGTATCAGTAGCACCTCCCCCAGTTGTGACAACCAAAAATTTCTGAAGACATTGCCAAATGTCCCCTGGGAAGCAAAATCACCTCCAGCTGAGAACCACTGCCTTAACGCAAGAAGTTAGGACTACAGGAATCTTGCTTTTTTTTAAGCTGTCAAGTTCTGTTAAACGCAGATGGCTTGTATTCTTAGTGCTTGTATTCTTCAGGTTCTTGATATTTTCTATAGCAGCAGGTAAGCACAAGGGTAACAAATTGTTTCATCATTGCTGCAAGCTTCCTTTAATACCAGCTGCATCCTCACCTTTAATTTACCTAGGTCAGACAACCAATATCACATTCACATTTCTAAGAGTCTGTTGCCTGCACTCCCTCAGAGTAGCATAGGTACCAAAAAACCAAAAAAACCAAACCTATTGCCGTTGAGTCAATTCCAACTCATAGCAACCCTACAGGGCAGAGTAGAACTGCCTCAGAGGGTTTCCAAGGAACATCTGATGGATTCGAATTGCAGACCTTTTGGTTAGCAGCCAAGCTCTTATGCACTATGCCACCAAGGTTTCCATCATAGGTACAGGGGTATCAATTTCCGACTCAGAATTCTAGTTGGTTTCTACTTTGGACAGGTGGGATTCACAAGGTGAGAAATTTTAGGGAGGCTGTTCAAATGATACTAAAGCAGCTAAAAAGCTGAGTCACTATATCAGGCTATTAAAAACTTAAATTTGAACATATTATTTTCACCAACTTCCTGTTTCTTCCTCTTAAGTAGTGAACACTACTTTAATTCCTGTAAGAGTGAGATGATTTAGTAATGCTTTTAGAAAATAAGGTAACTTTATTTTCCATCATGTTGAAGGATATTAGCTTAATTCAAATTGTTATTATTCCCACCAATGTTGTATGTATATACATGGGGCATAAAAAATGTATTGCAAGTAAAAACTATTTTCATTCCAATGGAGAACACCATAGGTTTAAAAAAATCTAGTTTAATATCGAAAGAATTTATACATAAAGGTTCCTCCATTTCAAAACATTGGTAGTTAAAAGATTATAACCAACCTTGTTGACTACAATACATTTTATGTGAACTCATTAAAACTTTTGCTTTAAAGTGGAAGCTTCTGCTCAGAAACAATACATGGCAGAGCGGATCTTTTCACGTTCTGAGAAAATACAAAAACTTCAGAGTCCTTCAGCTTAAATATTCATTACCTGCTCTTTGTGAGAAACATTAATCCCTTTGGATTATAAAGGAGAAACTCTTACTAAGAACTCATGTCCAGCAGCCACAACTCCTGCCTTCAGGAAATTATTTACTTGGAACTCTGGCACTGTGGAGAATCCTAAGGACAACATCTTCTACTGCAGTACAGTTAAGACATACGGACTTGGACCTGGTCTACAGTAGTGAGACTGCTATAATCCAGAAGAGTGTGATTTCCTATATTTAGATATAAACGCATCTGTTTTTCCAAGGCTAACTTTGTAGCATTCCACTGGCACTAAAGAGCCAAATGGTGACGTTCTGTCTAAGCCCTCTTGGTTACTGGCTTGAAATGAAGAAGATGCTGTCTCTGATATGCCATTTTCACCCTCAGGATTCAAGCACTTTTTCATTCCAGGTTCATCTATGTGGCTGCTCTTGGAATTCAAAGGGATGCCGCTCTCTTCACAATCTTGAAGGCACCTGTGGTGATCTTCACTGAGTAACAATACAATGGCTCCATCAACACGAAGCACTCTGTGACAAAAAATAGTAATTAGTATTTCTTCCTTTCTAGATGACGAACAATCACACTTTATTTAAAATATTTGGTACGTTTTTAATTTGAAATTTAATTTTATCTATTTAAATACAAGGATTCTGCTAATTAGGTAGCAACCTCCATAATGCATATTCATTACAGTAATTATGGAATCAATAGTACAAATCTGCTTTAATTATCTATTTTTACTCTACTTAAACGGCAAGCCTCAAAGTAATTTGTAGTCACATCCTACAAATGACTATACAAAGAAAAAGGCAAATGACAGAATCCTAAAGAATCAGCATATATTACCGGCAGCAAGCTGATGCAGGAGAAGTCACCAGGAAAGAGTCAGACCAAGAACAAAGGAATGGCAAAAGGGAAGATCAGAGAAGGAGGGAAGACCTTGAAAGGTGAGCTTTCTGAGGAGAATCATTCACTCAATCATTCAGCCAAAGTCTGTACAGCACTTACGTGGAAAAGTGATGAATAATGTGCAGACCTGTGAGTTGCTAAAAGATTACAGGAGAGTGGAGAGAGAGGCAAGTAAAAAGTCAAAGAGTGTGATAAATGCCATAACCAAGGCAAGTCTGAGGTTCTTGGGAACACATTAGATGGGACCCAAACCCAGGCACAGGGGTGGGGAAGATTTTCTGGAGGACGCGATGCCTATGCTATGAGTTCAAGGACAAGCAGGAGCTAGCCAGCAATGAGCGCTGGGGCTGGAGCAGGCCGAGAAAGCAACAAAGGCAGGAAGAAGTGAAGAGGAGGAGGTACTCATAGTCCAGCTTACAGATCACAGAAGGTGCTGCGGGGAGAAGGGAGGACAAGGAGTTCTGGTGGAATGTACTGAGGTACTTAAGGAACACCCAAGTGTGGATTCTAAAAGACAGCTGGATACACAAGCCTGGAGGTAGTAAGAAAGGCCAGGGTTGGAGACAGAGATTAAGAGTTTTCAATATGAACTGGGAGACAAAGCCATAATGAGATCATCTGGGGTGACAGCCAGAGTGAGAAGAGAAAAAGGGCCAAAAAAGCAGAAACTTAACATTTAAGGAGGGATAGAGGAGGAGAAGTGCAACAGATATCCTGAGAGAAAATGTGGGCAATAGTGATGTCTTGGAAGTCAAGGGAATAAAGTTTCAAGAAGGGAATGGTCTCAGCAGGGTAAGATGTTATAGAACTAGCAAGTGACCACAGGATTTAATATTAAGAAGTGAAAAAAAGAAATGAACCTGGGACAGCAATCTCAGTCGACAGCAGGTGTAGATGCCAATGTGTTGAGGGGGAACTGGAAAGTGAGGAAGCAGAAATGTCAGGTGTAGATTATTCTTTCAAGAAATTCAGTGTATATATAAGCAAATAGGGTGGCAGTGAGAGGATCAAGAGTTACAGGGAATCTTGTCATGTCCAAGAAAGATCCCAGAAGTTTTCCCTCACTTAATCCATCAACAAATCTAGATAGTTCTACCTCCAACTATGTCACAAATTCATCTACTTCCTTCCCATCCTCATATTTTGCCTGGACTATTGCAACAATCTCCTGACAGGTCTTGTTTCCATTCTTGTTATTCTTCCCACTCTCCCCCTTCTCAGTTTCTACACAGAACCCAAAATGTAAATCCCTGCTAACTCTTTAGCGCTTTCATTGTACTTGAAATAAATTCTTAACTCCTCACTGAGGCATATGGGGCCCCTACCTGATCTGCCCCTCAGCTACCTTCCTAACTTCATTGCCTGTTTGCTTCTATTTGCTCCAAACACACTGACCTTCCTTCTGTCACTCAAACTTACCAAGCTGCTTCTTATCTGAGGACATCTGGCCTTGCTAGTCACTCTACTTACCACTCATTCCCTTGTGCTTTCTCATCATTCAGGTCTCAGCATTCAAATATCGCCTCCTTGGAGAGGCCCTTCCTGACTACCTCTTAGCCACTCTCTAGCAAACCATCCTCTTTTATTTCCTTCACAGTACCAATTATGATCTGAAATTATCCTGCTTATTGGTTTATTAGTGATGTCTTTCCACACTAGAAAGAGTATCCCACATGGGCAGGGACCTTGCTGGTCCTGTTCACTGCTATATTCTCAGTACTTAATACAGCACTTGGGTTATGCAACACCTCTAAAAGTATCTGAGAAAGGGATGACTAAATCTCCTGCAAAGCACGGAAGAGATGAACAGGCGGAAATATAAGAGTGAGAAGTGGGCTAAGTGAGATCCCTGAGGAGGTAGGAACTGAGAGGATAAATCCTGGGCTAGAAGAGAAAAGCCTCTTCCTTGGAGAGAGGAGGAGGCACATGTGGTTGTATCCACAGAACATACACGTGGAAGAAAATATAATTAAAATAATACATGAATTGTAACTTTTTACCTACTGTATCAACTAAGGTGAAAAAGACATGCTCAGGATGGCAAGATTAACAAAAAATGAGTACTCTTGAACACAGAAATTGGTGTAATTTTTTTGGGGGGGACAGTAGTTTGGCAATAACATATCGAAAATATAAAATGTGCATAGCTTTTGACCCAGCAATATCCCTTCTAGAAATTTATCCTAAGAAGATGTAACAGTAGTAGGAGTAGTAATAGAATAATAGTGATGATAATGGTGATGATAGCTAATACTTACTGAGCACTTATTATGTACCAGGCACTGTTGTAAATGTTTTGTATTATATATCATTTGACTCTCAGAACTAGCCTTTCAAGTATGCCCTATTAGCACCCCCATTTTGCAGATGAACAAACTGAGGCACTGTAGTTTTAAGTAACTGGGATGTATAGTTAATTTGAAAAGTTGCCTGTATAAGGATCTTAAGAGCATTTGTGGTGCAGTGAATTGCTTTAATATGGCCCTTCTAGCCATGGTGTTTTAACTTCCACAAAATGACTGAGTGGGACTATGCAAGTAAGGTGCTTGTGGTCCACCATGGGGATTAGACCATTTTGCTAACGTAAATAAGGTGCATGGAACCCCTGCCAGGGGGCTGGGGGGTACCATGCAAATAATCCCCTTGTAGGGCATTAGTCAGTTTTGCTATCCTGCTAGGTTTAAAGGGAGCCAATCCCAGAGGTTGGAGGGGACCTCACTACCATCAAGAACAGCCAGGAGCAGAACACGTACTCTGGGCCCAGGGTCCCTGCGCTGAGAACCTCCTAGACCCAGGAGACAGAGACAGCTGTTAACAGTCAAGACAGCACGAGACGGGACCGGCAGGCTAGGCTCACCAACCCACAGAACGAAAGAGTTGAGAGCCTTCGGGCAGGAGGCTTCCTGGTGGAGTGGGATGCCTCTGGGCACTTACTGACGGAGCTAAAGAGCTTTGTAACACTTGCCCGAGCAGGACAGAGGGCAGGCCGAGAAGAGCTGTCCTGATTGAAGAACTGTATCCTGAGTCGTTCCTGTTACTTCCAAGCTGATCCCGAACTGTAACGTGTTACTTCCCTAATAAATCCCATAATTGTGAGTATGGTCTGTGAGTTGTATGTGGCCACTGCAACGAATTATTGAACCCAGTAGAGAGTGCTGTGGGAGGGATGGCTGGTGTCAGAATTAGTAAAAAGGTTGGAGAGTGGAGATACGTCTGACTTCCACCTCATAGGAATCAGCTTTGGACTGATGCTGATGATAGTGATTCTCCTCCCGCCTCACGAAGTTAGAGGACCTCTGATGCCATGCCATTTTTATAGCACTGCTCTTTACTAAAATGAAGAATTGGAAACTACCTAAATGTTCATCTGTAAGTACTGGTGACATAAAAGTACATACATATAATACTATGGCCAACACTGAAAATTATAATATACACTATAACAACAGATCAGAAAAGAGATTCATGACATTGTTCTGTGAAAAAAAGCAAGTTATAATAAATTAAGGATGATCTTATTTATGTAAAATGAAAAACATATATTTGTGTATAAGAATCTGGAAATATGCCTAGAAGGATTTTCACCAGTTTAGTTACTGTAAATTTTTCTCAAATAATGGAGAAAAGAATAAAGAAGTAAAAATAACCTGAAATCTTGCTACTTGGAGATTGACATTTTTGGTGAATGCCCTCCTAGGCATCTTTCCATGTACATATACACAATATTTCTTCCTAAGAAAGCTATTCAGAAAATATAAAGCAACATTTTCCAGCATGTATTCCTCTGAATTGGAGCCCTGGTGGTGCAGTGGTTAAGAGCTACAGCTACCAACCAAAAGGTTGATAGTTCTAATCCACCAGCTGTCCTTGGAAACCCTATGGAGCAGTTCTACTCTGTCTTATAGGGTTGCTATAAGTCAGAATCGACTCGACAGCAATGGGTTTGGTTTTGGTTTTATTCCTCTGAACACTAGTGTAGTGTGAATAGTATCAAATATTTTTTTGAAAGGAGCTCCTGAGTGGTGTAAATAGTTAACATGCTTGGCTGCTAACTGAAAGGCTGGGGGCTTGAGTCTACCCAGAGGTCCCTTGGAAGAAAGGCCTGGTGATCTGCTTCCAAAAAATCAGCCATTGAAAACCCTATGGAGCAGTTCTACTCTGATACACATGGGGTTGTCATGACATAACTTGATAGCAATGGTTATTTCTTGAAAAAAAGAATTCTGTGGTCCATAAGTTGGGGAAACTGTATTAAACAACATAAAAGAGATTTCTCTTTTGTCTGTGAACCGACAAGACTAGGGTAGACTATACAAATAATCTCACATTATTTGGCCATGGAATGTATTAGGTCTTAACCTTTTACCACAAATCCTCTGCTCCAGGCCCCTGATGTTCCTGGAACTTGCCTTTTGCTTCACTATTCACTCAAGAAATATTTACTGGACATCTGTTATGTATAAAACATGGTGTGTTCTCCTTTTTAATACTTTCCAAACTTCCAAATCTCACTGAAATCTTGCTTGTTCCATGAAATCATTTCAAGCCTCTTTGGCATGCAGTGACTTCATTCAAGATGAGCAAGGGGAATTTCTAAACTTGCTCATATGCTTTATATGGTTATATTTAGAGGAAAGCTCAAAGAACACAATTCTCTGGATTCCTCACAATGCTCTGTACTCATGAACTGGTTACTGCTTGAATAAATTAAAGGAGGAAATAATTAAACTGAGAGTGCACAGCTCAGCCCACCAGAGCAATCATTTGTCTTTGTGACAATCTCTAATTCTGATGGTGTGACCTTCCTCAAAGAATCCAGTTCTGTGTTACATACAGGACCAACTATTTCCACTGCCTATTACTGTTAACCTGACTCTACTAGGCCCAAGATGGAGTCATTTATGCTAAGCCCCATGTCAGCAAACAGAAACCTAGCTAGTTTCTGTCTCCTGTAAATGCCTGACCTTCCCAGGAGCTGAAACCTAAGTCAACCAGTCTGTACTTGCTGCCTCAGCTACAGTATACCACCTAGCTATGAAGTTAAAACTAACCAATGACTTTTTGCCCAACGTTACTTCTTTGTTCTTACACACCACTTTGCCCATATAACTCTGGTCTCTTCCACTTGCCTGTCGGAGCTCTTGTCTAACTTCTGGGCCAGATGCCCCCTCCCCGCCCCGCCCCATTCAAGAATCGCAAATAGAGTTTATGAGGTTGTACACAAATTTAATCTTGTGGAAATTTTAAACACTACGAACGTGTTTACTGACTTCTTGTATTTTTTCTTATTTTTACTAACACAATTCCCCCTCTTATTTTCTATCTAGAGCCTTATGTTATTGGTAAACCATCACGAGAAAAGTTATATCTACTTAGATACATTGATATATATCCCCACCTATTTCCCACAGGGATCTCAAGTGACTTACACTAAAAAAACTAGGTAAGAGGTAACAGTTATTAACTTCTTTCTAGGTGTCATTATGCTAACAGCTTTAAAGCCACAAAATCCCAATAATGCTATGAGGTAGGTACCACCATTTAAAGATGAGGCACAGAGTGGTAAGAAATTTGCCTATGACTGAGAACTACTCAGTGACATAGCCAAGGCTGGAACCCAGTGTCTGGCTCCAAAGCCTGCACTCTTAGCCACTACATTATGACACACTGCCATATAAAACTTCAAGCCTAAAGCCAAAAGTCAAATCACAAACGTTGCGGACAAGCGGCAGGAAAGCTTAGTCATGGAGAAGGAAAAGTTCCTTAATCAAATACATATACTTTGAGCTGATTCTATTCAAGTTGAAGTGAATTATACTAGCTGTCTTAAAATATCTTCCTGATTCTCAGGTAAATATTTAAATCTTCTGCCACAACGTGAGGGCAATCATATCTATTACTGTCTCATTTTCAATCGTTGTTGTTAGGTGCTGTGGAGTCAGTTAGGACTCAGAGCAACCCTACGTACAACAGACTGAAACACTGCCCAGTCCTGTGCCATCCTCATAATCGTTGCTATGTCTGGGTTCATTTTTGCAGCTATTGTGTCAATCCATCCCATTGAGGGTCTTCCTCTTTTTCGCTGACCCTCTACTTTACTATGCATGATATCCTTCTCTAGGCACTGGTCTCTCCTGATGACATGTCCAAAGTATGTGAGATGAAGTCTTGCCATTCTTGCTTCTAAGGAGCATCCTGGCTGTACTTCTTCCAAGACAGATTCGTTCATTCTTCTGGCAGTCCATGGTATATTCAACATTTTTCACCAACACCATAATTCAAAGGCATCAATTCTTCTTCGGTCTTCCTTATTGTCCAGCTTTCATATGCATATGAGGTGACTGAAAATACCAATGCTTGGGTCATGCACACCTTAGTCCTCAAAGTGCCATCTTTGCTTTTTAACACTTTAAAGAGGTCTTTTGCAGCAGATATGCCCAATGCAATACATCGTCTGATTTCTTGACTGCTGCTTCCATGGGTGTTGATTGTAGATCTAAGTAAAATGAAATCTTTGACTTCAATCTTTTCTCCGTTTATCATGATGTTGCTTATTGGTCCAGTTGTGACTTTTGTTTTCTTTATGTTGAGGTGTACTCCATACTGAAGGCTGTGGTCTTCGATCTTCATCAGGAAGTGCTTCAAGTCCTCTTTACTTTTAGCCAAGTAAGGTTGTTGTCATCTGCATATCACAGGTTGTTAATGAGTCTTCCTCCAATCCTGATGTCCTGTTCTTCTTCATACAGGCCAGTTTCTTGGATTATTTGCTCAGCATATAGACTGAATAAGTATGGTGAAAGGATACAACCCTAACACACACCTTTCCTGACTTTCAACCACGCAGTATCCCCTTGTTCTATGTACAGGTTCCTCGTGAGCACAATTAAGTGTTCTGGAATTCCCTTTCTTTGCAATGTTATCCGTAATTTGTTATGATCCATACAGTCGAATGTCTTTGTGTAGTCAATAAAACACAGATAAACATCTTTCTGGTATTCTCTGCTTTCAGCCAAGATCCATGTTTTATCAGCAACAATATCCTTTGTTCCACGTCTTCTTCTGAGTCTGGCTTCAATTTCTGGCAGTTTCCTGTCGATGTACTGCTGCAATTGTTTTTGAATTATCTTCAGCAAAATTTTGCTTGAGTGTGACACTGATATTGTTCGATAATTTCTGTATTCTGCTGCATTGCTTTCCTTTGGAATGGGCACATATATGGATCTCTTCCAGTTGGTTGGCCAGATAGCTATCTTCCAAATTTCTTGGCATATACAAGTGTGTGCTTCCAGGAAATTTGTAGCGTTTCACTGGAATTTTTGATTAGCAAAGAATAAAAACCAAAACCAGCCTAGGGAAAGGCAAGCTGGTATAATTTTACTAGTGCTGAAAGGACTGTCTACTCAAAACACTGCCCTCCCCTGACTTGTGGGCATGTCTAAAATATGCAGCATTAGATTTTTAGTTAGGTTAAGCCATTATTTCTCTGAAAAGTTCCAGTTCAAATGCAAGTCACTGTTCACACATATCAGTACCTTACCAAGAGGTGGCTTGTTAGTATAGCTGGTGAATTCCCTAGTTAGGCTTCAAGGCTGTGGTTAATCCTGCTGCACAACAGAATCACCTTGGAAGCTTTTAAGAAATACTGACAGCCAGGTTCTACACCAGATCAATTAAATCAGCGCAGGAGTAGGGTAGGGGGAGGACAAGATGTGTGGAATAGGCAGGCATCAGTCTTTTTTTTTTTTTAAAGTTCTCAAAATTATTTTAATATGAAGCCAGGATTGCAAAATCTGCTCGCAGGGAACATGATGTGGGTCTACATGGCATGTAAGTGTTCAGGAAAGGGCTGACTTACAGGTGCTGCTCAGACAGAGAGGTCTCAGGTAACACATTAAGAATTACATAACTGGGTAACAAGGAAGTTGCTTAGAAATAAAATAATCCAGAAACAAGTGTGGAGCACCCAGCTCACAAACTGGAGTTGAAAGGTTCTTAGCTGGGTTTAGAATTCATGTCAAGCTTTAATTTTCCTTACAGAATGTCAGCCTTGACACTGCACTGTCTCCATTCAAAATACACAGCTCATTCTTTCAAATGATTAACACATTATTTATATAGCAGGCTCTTGACCACTTTTCTTATCCTACTCTGTCATATGCCCAGCTGAGACAATATGAACTGACCACTTATTCATGTCCATTCATTCCTGTGCACATTTTAGGTTCTCTATCAACTTAAACAATCAGAAAAATATCTACCCAGGCATCACTGGTGGAAACTCTCAGAGAGATACTTTCACTGAGTTATATTCCCTTAGGTAGACATGAAAAACCGTAACATAAATAACACTTGTGCATTTTCATTTCATAACAAATAATGAAGGTGGTATCCATTCTGCATTACTGAACGTTCCTTATATAAATTCTGTTCTGTTAAGTAGCTGTGGGATCTTGAGAAAGTTAATCTTTCTGGGCCTTAGTTTCCTCATCTGTAAAATGTGGGGGATAACACATACCAGACAGGGATTTTGTGACGATTAGAACTAAGTATGTAAATTATGTAGCACAGTAACTAAAACATAGTGGGTATTCAAATTTCAGCCAATAATAAAAAAATCAATGTTTCTTTTCTGAAGAAAGTTTACAGTGTAAAATGATCAGGAATGTCTACCTCAATTATAAACTTCTGATTTGAAACCTTTAGAAAATTAAGCTTCAAAATCTCTGGGAAATTACTATAACATAATCAAACCTTAATTGAAGAGCTATATTTTGGTCAAATGCCCAATAGTTCAAAAATTACAGAAGTATGTTTAACATCTTACCTTTCCATTTCTTGTAGAATGCTTTTGATGTCTTTTTCTAACTTAAACTTTTTCCCAAATGGAATGTCAGAAATAATAATATCGACACTTTCTGAAGGCAATGGCAATTCTGAAATACACAAATCAAAGCATTCTATTACAGTAACTTCAAATATGTACAATCCAAATAATGAGAAAACTGAAGTACAAAGAATTATTTTTGCATATTAAATAAAATTTAGCGTTGCTAATATTGTTTCTAAGGAATTAACAAGATTCTGAAATGCTTTCTGAATCACTAAAGATTAAAGTGGTCCAGTTACTCAATTCTGTTCTTTGAAAATTGTTTTTTTCAAGTATGATAAAATACGACATAAGTAGAATTTTTAATTAACCAGAAAACCCAATTCTCTAAACATATTACCTGACTAGAAAGCTGCCATATCTAAGAAGAAATATATTAAGATATCTAGAAAAACCTTTTAAAGAATTATTTTCTAAAACTTTCACTTCCTTTCATAATTATATATAAACTTTTCCACGTGTAGATCTGTTTATAAGGGAGTATCCACAGCTTTCATTACATTTTTAAAGGGGACTCCAAAAGGTTAAGAACATCTATGCACATTCCAAGACCAGAGAAAAAGTTACATAATTAATAATCAACAGAATGAATATTACCACTAAACAAAATTCAACGTAATGTCTGATTATTGAATCTAAATTTCTTTCTTATCTTAGCACATTCTTCACAGAAATTAGATTATCATAATAAGGTAATAGACACAATCTTTTTCTTTTTAATTGTACTTTAAGTGAAAGTTTACAATTTGAGTTAATTTCTCATACAAAAATTTATACACATTGTTATGTGACCCTAGTTGCTCTCCCTATACTGTGACAGCAAACTCCTCCTTTCCACCCTGGATTTCCCGTGTCCATTCAACCAGCTCCTGACCGTCTCTGCCTTCTCATCTCGCCTCCAGACAGGAGCTGCCCATTTAGTCTCATGTATCTATTTGAACTAAGAAGCACACTCTTCATGAGTATCATTTTATGTCCCATAGTTCAGTCTAATCTTTGTCTGAAGAGTTGGCCTCGGGAATGGTTTTAGATTTGGGCTAACAGTTAGGGGGCCATGTCTTCTAGGGTCCCTCCAGTCTCAGTCAAACCATTAAGAATAGACAATCTCAGCATCTACCTGTTCGGAATATACTTTCCACTTTTACTTATTTTATTTCTCACCCTTTGTCTAAACTAAGTTAAATATTCATAGGTAGAAGAGGTCTTAATTTTCATTTTAAGCAGCCTCTAATTTTATATAGAAAAGTAATAAAATTTAAATAATCTTTACTAAGAGAAACTAAATACCATATAAATTTTTGTTGGCAGGAAATGAAAAAAAAATTCCTTTGTTATTTGAGAAAGTGAAGTCTACTACTTGCTAGATTTCTCCTGGTTCTAACTTCTACCTCAGATTAGTAGAAAAAAATAAGAGTAGATTAATAGAAAAAAAAAGTACCAGGATAATATTCTTTTAAACCTAGGCAAGAATTCTTTTTTTTCCAAGTTATGTTGTAACTCCATGTATCTAGCTTTAGGGGGTTTTATATAGAACACATCCATCTGAATACTATTTCTATGCTTTTCACAAAAGTACTGCAGACACTGACTAAACACCAGGCACTGAAGGCAATTAGGTTTATCAAATGCTATATATACATATATATCTATATGGAACCATGTTGTAAATTGACCTGAGTTTAATCCCACTTTTTTTTTTTTTTTTTTTGCCTTACAACACAGAAATATATACCACTGCGTGAATTATCTACTAGGCAATTTAATAGCAAATTCATCCAGCTCTAGTAACAATTTTTTTCTTCTGGTCAGTCTCCATTTTTCACCCACAAGTCTCCTAATCTATATTGCATAATTTGCTAAACCACTTTAAATAATTTTAGAAGATGGAAGAATGAACAGTTCACATAGAAGCAGAAGAAAATAATTTTTTCAGAAAGTTCCAGAACTAAGCAGTGCCATCTTCCAATAGGGCATAAAGCAAGCTTCTGATAATGTGACTCAGAATGCAGGCTCTGGCGTCAGGCAGTTGGAGTCTGGCTCTGCCACTTACCACCTATGAGACTTTGAGAAATTATTGCTGTAGTTTCCTCACCTGTAATGTGGAATAACAGTACCTACCTCAGAAGTAAAGTTAATAAGTAAGGTAATATATGGATGGCATTTAGCACAGTGCCTACCACATAGTGAGCACTCAGTAAATGTCAGCTATTACTGTGGTTATTATTCACAATGTCCTCTCTAACATCTACAGGGAGATGACAGACAGCTGGAGAACAGTGGGCCACACCCACCAAAGCAGCTCTGTAGACCAAAGTATTTTCTTCTCACAGCTTCTTGAAGGCCAAGGAAGGGCAACCACTTCTAGACGGGTCTTTCCTACTCTCCCTTCTCTAGCAGTGGTTCTCAGAGTGTGATCCCCAGACCAACAACATCAGCATCACCTGGGAATTTGTTAGAAACGCTAATTGCTGGGTTCCACTCCAGACTTACGCAGTACGTATCAGAATCACCTGAAGAGGCTGGTTAAACACAGGTTGTTGGCCCCACTTTCTGAGTTTCTGATGCAAAGGCTCCTAAAATAATGAGCATCTGACCCATAAAATTCAGCACACAGTAATATCTTTTAAATTATTGAATGCTTTGATCTGCCTGTGAACAGGGTTTGCTTGTAACTAAGGAGATAAGATTCTGAAATAGAAATATGGAGCTCAAAACAAATAAATAAAAACCATCTCTTACCTCTCTGAAGGATGATTCAAAGATATGAAAAAATATTTCAATTTTAACATACTAGTGTGTTCTGAGGAGCCCTGGTAGCGCGGTGATTAAGAGCTCACTGCTAACCAAAAGGTCATTAGTTCGAATCTACCAGCCACTCCTTGGAAACCCTACTGGGCAGTTCTACTCTGCCCCACAGGGTCACTACGAGTTAGAACCAACCTGACAGAAATAGATTTGGGTTGTTTTTGGTTCAGTGTGTTTTGAACAACAACAACAAAAAAAACTGCCCTATTTCTCTCCCTCTTTCCAGGAGAAAAATGGGTAAGACTTGCTTATAGCTCAGGATCCTGGCCTTAAGATATTTTACCAATAGGTATTTAAGGGTCTTCAAAGTATCTTTTTACGGGTATATTTAAACAAAATACTAGGTAAGACTATTTTTATAAAATTGGGACTACCCTTCTACTTCCTTTCCTTGTACTTCCTGCGTTTAGTTATTTCTTTTCACTGCTCAGGTTTATAACATCATATTCTGTCCTGGAACCTTACTTCCTATAGTTGTTTTGAATTAGCTCTAAAATGAAATGGATTCAATCCTAGCCACTATTCATTTGCCTTGGCCTTCTCCACTTCTTTCGCAGTGCTGCTGGGTGGGTTCAAACCGCCAACCTTTAGGTTAGCAGTCGAGTGCAAACCGTTTGTACGACCTAGGATGAAGCAGGGTGAAGTGGCTGGGAAGTACAGGAGGATAGGGACAGTAGTGTTTTGCATTGTTAAACAGGCCAGGCCTCACTGATGATGTGAGACTTGAGCAAACACTTAAAAGAGATAGAAGAGTGTTCCAGGATGTGTTTGAGGAACAAGCAGGGAGGCAAATGTGGCTGGAGTGAGGGGGAGAATGAGAGGAGATAAGGTTAAAGAGGTAGTGAATAATGGATGGCTGTAGCAGGGTTAGAAGGAGGCCTGATGGCACAGTGGTTAAGAGCTCGGCTGCTAACTGAAAGGTCTGTAGTTTAAGCCCACCAGCTGCTCCGTGGGAAAAAGATGTCAGTCTGTTTCCATAAAGATTACAGCCTTGGAAACTCTATGGGGCAGTTCTACTCTGCCCTATAGGGTCACTACGAGTTGGAAACAACTTGACGGCAGTGGGTTTGGTTTTGGTTTAGACAGGAGGGTCAGATCTTCTGGCCTTGAAGACTATTATGAGGATTCTGACTTATACAATTAAAAGAGAGCCACTGTGATTCTTCCCATAAGATATCCAAAGTGTATTTACAGAATTTTGGAATGAAATTTTGTGTATTACTGGGCTCTAACCATTTAATTTGTTCAGTTTTTCCTTGGATTTTTTTAGGGACAGATGTCAATATCTACCGATGGCAAGCTTTGTTTTTAATAACTGCAATTCTCCAAAAAATTCAAAAGGTAAAGTTTTTTGGTGCTGTTTGTTGAATCCTTTGATTATAGATTTCCAACAAATTTTGAACAAAATGCAACTGCAATTAGGAAGCTTGTTTATAAAAAGTTTAGCAGCATTGTGGGACACTTTCGCTGATTTGGAAAGCAGTTCTCTGGAGGATTAAACATTTTAAAATTAAGCCTAACTGATGATGGGCAAGCAAGAAAGTGTGTACTGCCATTGTGAAGTTAATTTTTTACACTCAACCATCTTCATCATGCTATTTTGCAGCTCAGTTATTCTGTGCATATTTTTTAAAAAAGTTGAGTATTTTACAGCTTGTCTGAATGTAACTGTAATTATATGGGCACTATGTCAAATTTCAAGTACATGTCTGCTCTATAGGTGTATTTAATAAGAACATTATTTTTTATCATGATGCTGTGGTCCACTGAATCACTGCATAAACAGACATACGTGCAATGCTGAACTTTGAAACTGGATTTTTAATAGCATTCATGCTATTCTTTGACAGAATGACTTCCTGAATTTCCATGAACTGGAGGAACTTACGGGTGTAGTGAAAAGAACATGCCGTACTCCAAGGGTAGAAATGACACCTGAGAACAAAGCAGAGGTGCTACCGATAATCTTGTTATGAAAGCTTTCCCTGAAGTGATGTAAACAGGCTATGCTGTTGTGGTGTGCCATCGAGTTGATTCCAACTCACAGCAACCCTGTAGGACAGAGCAGAACGGCCCCATAGGGTTTCCTAGGCTGAAATCTTTAAGGGAGCAGATCATCAGGACTTTTCTCTCGCAGAGCAGCTGGTGGATTCGAATGATCAACCTGGGGGTTAGCAGCCAAGTGCTTAACCATTGCGCCACCAAGGCTCCTTATACAGGCTATACAATGTCTAATTGGAA